AATGAATGAGGCTCACTCTGGTCTATTAATCAGAAACAAATTATGAAAGAATGTAGCTGGACTGGCTGACACTCTCCTGCCTTGGGAGACTCAGTAACAGCCTAGTAACAATGTCCTCTTCATGGGTAATGAACAGCCATGACAAATGGGGCAGAGAAACTATTTATTTGCATATGCAAATTCCCACACAAGGGAAACATGTACAAACAAGTGTCATTGTAAGGTGGATTAGGCAAACAACGCTTTCTTTTTAGGACATTCTGCAGCCCAGAACATTAGTCAGCACAATTAAACCAGTCTCCATGGAGACTAATGAAATTTCACCATGGTATGAGTTAAATTAGATAGCTAGTTATGTGTTTCCACAATCCAACTAGAAATCCATTATTGTTTCAGAACAATACAGCAATTGTGCCTAGCTGATCTCTGCCGGCCCAACAAGCTCCTAAGTTGACAATTTGCATATGTTAATATAATTAAGCACTAATTACATGAAACTTGTACATATTCACATGCACTTTCCCTGGGCGCTTCTCAGTTTGAACCTTGGCCAAGTCTTTAACCCTTAAAATGGTCTTAGAGGTTAAAAAAAAAAAAACCCTCTGCCTGTGGATACAGCCCCTAGGCAGACACAGAAAGTCTCCTCACTTATAAACACAAAGCTTAACCTGGCTTCTCATATTTCTCGCAACAATGACAGAAAATATTTTGTGAGTGTGCTGGAGACAAGGGGCAAGGAAAATGAAGAGGGGGAATGGATTCGTCTCTAAAGGCCCCTAACGAGTATCTTCTCAAAGGAAAGCAATCGCATTCATTTCAAGAAAATGTTAAGAAAGAATTTGTTCTCGTTGACATTGTCAAACCTTGGGAGATGAAAACGGTTTGACAACAGCAAAAATAGCAAGTAGAGAGAGGGAAAGGCATCCGCAGCACTTAATGAGCTTTACATAAATATATGCAGAGGTAATTAAGCAATGTTAATTACTATGACAACAGTTAATTGAATATAATTAGATATTTTAAGCCACTGAATAAAGCATAGTTAAGATTAATTTTATTGAGATTAACTGTAAATAAGGATAGATTAACTCTCTGTTTTGACAGGCATAAAAAGTAGCTCTGCAAATTAAGCAAGAGCACGGCCACTAGTCCAAAAATCATATATTATTTTAATGTCACACCTCAGAATCATCTCCTCAATAAACACGACTTTCCAAACCCAAATAGACAGGAATCTTGAAGAAAAACAAACAGCTTGCAGAGATTAAAGAGCCTTTTGTCCTTTTTCATGTGCATTTCTTTTAACAGACTAAATTAAGCGAGTCTGGTGTACGTTTTTTAGGAAGGAACATTTCACACTGAATGGAAAAAATGTTCTATCACATATGAAATTCGTGCAGCTGTGCGGAACTTGGTCCAGATGGTTTAAGACTATAAAACACGGCCAAATGATGGGCAGTAGGCCTCCCCAAGATTATATGATAAAGTCACAATCTTTTATTTTGATTCCCTCCCATTTCTGCTTTGTGTCATTTCCAAGCAAATCAAATAACGTCTTTTATAGCTGTGTTCCTCCAACAGGGTGAAAAGCAATGTCCCTACTAAGTGCTAGAAATGAAATCTAAAAGGGAGTTGAAGAAGGCTCATCTAACAGATATCAGCTAAGTCATTCAGCCACAGAATGCCAGGATAGCAGTGACAACAGTGTATGCAAATGACTATTACTCTATTGACTATTACTCTCACAAACAATGGTTTCTAAAATTACTTCTCAGAAAAATGTTGCTAAGTAAAAATCTGTCTCTCCCCATACTTTCACACCAAACTAATCCATGCACATTTTTTAAGAAGATTAACCCAGGCCTCAAGAATGCTGAACAAATCACCAATAAGAAAGGAGCTTCAATTGATCTTGAAATAAATCAATAGGTGATTAACATAATATTTTTAAAGCTGCAAAATGTACATACATTATATAAACATATATATATTATATTTTCAATACCTTTTAGCTCTTAATCGAACACGGGCTTTACACTATTGAGTCTGGCTCTACACTACCTCACAACTTCTGTAGGATTCCTTTAGTCTTTACAACGAAAACCCCAAAATGGCCTGTGAAACAACACTAGGACAAGCCATTCTGCAGTGAAAGATTTTAAATCATCCAGCCTCTTCTAATAGACTTGAGACTTATTGAGGTAGAAACCATAAAAAATGAAGAAGGGAAATTTAATCCCTGAAATATTGATTTGCACATTAATATCATATAGGCAGAGGGCAATTTGGCTTCGTGGAAATGACACATTGTCGACCCTTGGTGAAGTCAGAGCCAATCTAACTGCTGAACATGTCTGAATCTCAAGAGTTATTAAGGGCTTCCCTTCTTGCCGTTATGACTTCTCTTCAGCCTACCAATGCAATCTTAAATGTATTATCTTTAAGAAATAATTGTAAAACCTCAGGGGTTTTCCAGTTAATGGAAGGGAGGCCAAACCACATCAGATTCTGAAATGCAACATTAAACCCTCGCAATCAACAAAACCACCTCAATTCTCATCCATCCAATGCAGGATCTAATATTGTTATTAGAGATAATCAAATTTCATTGTGTAAATTTAGGCTCCTGGTCAGAAGGGAAGCAGTAAATTCTGCAATATTAAACAGCAATTTTCTTTGCCTCTTTTATGTTTTCCTTTTAGGGTGCAGCATCTTTGAAAATAATCCAACTAGCTCAAAATTAATGAACAGATTTGGCCTCGTCTGCTGAAAACTGCAAAGATTACAATAGAACTGCACATGGCTTCTTCATTTTTAACTTCAAGTGGCAACTTTCACTTCACAGACCCAGAGCCCATTGAGCCCACAGCTGCTGCTATTGCTTTGACTTCCACAGCTGGTTTACCTGACCTTTCTTTGTTCCTTGGGTACGTTTCACTTTTCAGATTTATGGTATTTGCCCCATATTTCATTGACCCTATCTTCATTGCTATAAAAAATGAAAACACTCGAATATGAGTTTACTTTTTTAAATACAAAAGCAGCCAGCTATTGAATAAACATAGTGATACTCTTCAATAGTTTATGTCATAAATATTAACGCCATTTAAAAATAACTGTATAAAACTTATGATCCCCACACTGATACCAGGTGCAAGAGGTTAAAACAGCTGGCTAGCCATCTTTTATGTTTGCGTGCCTTCCTGCTGACTGAAACCGAAAACCTTGAAAACTAGCAAATATTCCCTTAAGGATTTTTTTTAAGGACGAGGAAGGAAAAAAGAAAACCTTCATTCTCTTTAATACGCTCCTCGGTGAAGAAAAACTGCACCAGAGTCACAGAGGCAGTGAAATAATCCGAAATATCTTCTTTCTGTTTTATTTCAGCCCCGTGCTTGCCAACAATCTCTATAAACAATTCTCTAGTCTTGAATTAGAAAAGAGAAAGAAGAAAGAAAGAGAGAAAGAGAGAGAGAAAGGAAGAGAGAAAGCCTCAGCGTGCTCTGTCAGTTTTGCCAGTAAATATAAAGTAAAACGAGTGTGGATGGCACCGAGAGTGTTACATACCCGGGCTGTGTTTTTGCTTTGCTCTCAATGGAAGCGATCGATGCCCGTGTCACTGTCGCGTCCCAATCGCAGCCAAGTCTCAGCCTTAATCTAAGCAACACCCGAAAAGGCAGCGGCAGCCGCAGCCTCTGTCTCACTCTTCCATCCATCCACCCAGCTAAAAATATAATTCTGCATATGAGCTTTAACCACTCCACGTTTATAGGGATCAAGCCACTGAAAATCCAGGAGAACACAATAAAAAAAAAAACCCTCCTGTCTCTCGTCTCTCGCTCCTCTCCCCCTCTCTCTTCTTCTCTCCTCTCTCTGTCTCTCCTTTGCCATCTACATGATCCTTGATTAAACATGGAACAGAGTTAATAAAAGGGGGGGCCGAAGGAGAGGAAATGCAACTGTCAGGAACCGGGAGGGCCGGATTTCCCGGGGACCTGCTTCTGTCTGGGTCGGTGTCAATCCACCATCTTCAGCCAGCGGACTTGTCTTTAGGTTTTTGTTTGGTTTGGGGGGTGTTGTTGTGTGTGTGCTTTTTTGGGAAGGGGGGAGGGGTAAGGGGAGGTGGGGGCCGGAGCCGGGGGGCAGGGAGAGCGCGTGTGTCCGCGAGTGTGTGCCGGTGTGAGCGTGTCCGCGCGTGCAGCGGGCGGCGTGGGGTGGGGGTCCGCGTGTGCGATCCGAGCCCGCGGCGCCCCCGAGGAGGGTGTCTCTCCGAACGGTAGCTAAGCGCTCTCCGGAGCCGCGGGCAGCGAGGAGCCGCGGCCCGGCGCCCCAGCCTCCGAGCGGCCGCAGGAGCCCCGCCGGACTGCAGGTAACAAAGAG